ATCCTATGTGAAGGGCGCTATATGAATGCAAGTTGTTATTGTTGATGATGTAGTATCACCAATGAGTTCCCTAATAATCCAAATCAAATGTGCTAATTTTTTGCAGATAGAATTTCCGTGGGCAGCTTCAAGAGCCAATCAATGGGTTCTAAGGAGATTGTGCACTTAAGAATGTTTGAAAGAACATTCAATATGAAACTTATGAGGGATATAAACTATTCAATGCTACAAATAGTCCAGTCCATCGGGGAAGAATGACAAGAATGTAACGTTCAGTTTTGCCCCTTCCCATAGGAATCCTTCTTCTGTGCTTTGCTTTGTGAAATCAATATATTGTGGAGGAGCCCTTGGTGTTTGGTTATCCTGATATATGATCTGCAGGCCGGGTGTAATGTGTTAATGTTATATTGTTACAATATGTGTGCTGCAAACATTCGCTGCACTGGTCTGGGCTTTTTTCCACAGGAATGCATTGGATTGGATGCGGCACAGCAGATATGAACTATCGTTTGGTGTTAATTGCTGATGGTGCCAAAGAGAGTTTAGCTGCGTGGCAGTACCAGGAAGCCAGTACAGAGCTGTTGAGAAATCCCACTCCTTTGGCTTCTGGGAAAGGGTGAGGAAGCAATGATAAAGTCAGATAACATGGCCAAACAGACTAACGAGAACATCATGGAATAAGAATATAATAATAATAATCCTTGCATTTGATATAGCGCTTTTCACGTCGGGAGGACGTCCCAAAGTGCTTCATAGAACACACTGTAAAGTGAATTGACAGCCAATTGCGCACAGCAATGTCCCACAAACAGTCGTAGATTGAAAATGACCAATTTTATTATTGTTTTTTGTTTTGGAGGGATTATTATTAGGCTCTGTGTGGAGTAAGGAAACTTGCCCAAGGTTTCGCCCTCTGCCTGGAATTGAGCTCAGGTCTCTCGCTTGCAAAGTGAGTGCTCTAACAACTGAGCTACAGGACTCCACATAATTTGCCCTCCGTCCTTTTTATATGGAAGATTTTAGTTTGTACACATGAGGGAATTAAGAAACTTTGTGTTGGTTTGGAGAATGATTCTGGGAGGAGGACGAGAGAGAGAGAGTGAATGTGAGGACTTGAGAGTCTAGCTGAAGGATCTGTTATAAAATTGGTGGTAGCGCACGTGTGTGGTTGTGTGTGTGGGAGAAAAAAGGGAAAATGGAGTAACACTAGTTGCCTGGGAGGAAATAATGTGTAACTGCATTGCATTAGACATTAAAAGCTCAAATCCCACCTCATGACCACTATTCTGTTGGTGCCTTAGATTTGTGAATTGCAACTTCTTGTTTGCCCCTGAAATTTATGAACCAAATTTGCTAGAAATAAGTGATCGCAATATAAGAATAATAATCCTTGCATTTGATATAGCGCCTTATCACGTCTTTGAGATGTCTCAAAGCGCTTCACAGAATATACTTTAAAATTAATTGACTGTATATTTTGTCGGCATAACGCGTCAGCCAATTGCGCACAGCAGTGTTGCACAAACATTCAGTGACTAAATTACTATTGTTTTATCATTTTTGGGACGGAGGGATTACTACCCCTGGAAAAGTGATCCAACTTACTGCAAGGTAAACAGAGGCGTGTGGAGTAAGGAAACCTGCCCAACATTTCGCCCTGCCGGGAATTGAACCCAGGTCTCTCGCTTGCGCGGTGTGTGCTCTAACCACTGAGCTACAGGATTGTCAAAATATCAAATGCCAGCCAGGCCAGCAAACAAAATGTCACATTTCCTTTGGATGAGACATTAAACTTTGGTTCTGCCTGCCTGTTCAAGCAGACATTAAAGGTTTCACAACACTACTCAGAAAGATAATCCCGGTGTTCTGGCCAACAAATCCCACCCAAATAAAAGAAACATTCACTTCATGGCTGTTTATGAGACATTGGTGTGCACAAGTGGGCTGCCGGTTTACACAGTCGCTACACTCAACAGTAAAATCTGTAAAGTGCCTTGAGACGTCTCGATGACGTAGTAAGGCCTGTATCATCATTATTTCAGACCCCAGCGTTCATTTGATTCAAGATGAGAAGAAAAAAAAAGTTAGTTTTGGAACTGATACTGATACCATCTGTAACATTTATGCCATTTTCCCTTATGTTATTTTGACATCCTCTTGCTCCATAGCTCATGACCGACAAGTCCCCAGTGTAAATACAGCATTGTGTGGTGAAGGAGGAAGTTCTTTCATACACAAGGATACAACAATAGGTGTAAACCAAGAGATTTGTATCTTTTACCCTGAAGTAACTCTATGGTGAGTCCAGACTGACAAGATGCCTTTCTGTTGAGCTGTTAAGAAGTTAAATTTAATAATAATAATATTTGCATTTGATATACAACAACAACTTGCACTTCACTTATACAGCACTCTCCACATGCTTGAAAACCTACACCTTTTGATGTTTTTCCTCACCGAAATCCATTGCAAGTTGTTGGGTGAAGATCTGATTTCTTCAGTACAATTGTCACTAAAAATAGAGGCAACTCCCCAGTGTACATCCAGATTGATTTTCAATCTAAGCTTCTCACTCAAACTGGAGTTTGTCAACATAGTTCTGCTTTCAAACCTCTAATTTGTGGTATTTCTTAAGAAATTTATATTAAGAAGTGAGTATGCAATTTATAATATGCAATAAAACTTGCACTTGATCCTCGCATCAATCACCAGATTCCTAACATCGACAGATTTGCCAAAGAAATTTTAGAAATTCAATAATTAAACATTTCTGTAGCGATCAGCCTAACAAAAGCACTGCAATACTGTGCTAGAAGACTGAACCCTTTATGATAGAATACAATTTACATTTATATTGCGTCTTTCATGTTGGGAGGACATCTCAAGGCACTTAAACTCTCACGCTTTATTTTCACATAAGAGTACTATTCAATTTTCCTGCACTTTGTGAGGCAAACAACACTTTGTTCTAAAAATCATATAATTATTGAAATACAAGTCACACAGTTAAATGTACTTTCAGTTCCTCTGTAACTATGCATTACCTTTGCTACTTTTACAAGATCACACAAGCTTATGGCATTCCTTCTCTGGTATATAGCATGAACATCAGTAAGAAGATGAGATAGTTTATAGTATAACAAAACAATAAAAGCAACAAATGTCTAGTTGTGAGTCTAAGGCAATAATTCAATTTCAGAGGATTTTCTGATGTTTATAAACCTTTTAAGCTTTGGTCTTCTAGTTTACATTATCTTTAGAACTATGCAATTTTGAACCATTCCCTTCTAGCTCACCGCTGCCAGAAATGTATCAGCTAAGTAATAAATGGAGACAGACTTTTAAATGATTTTGCAAATTAAAAGGGAAGGTTGGGGGGTGGTGGGAGCCAACAGAGAAAAATAATAGTGGGAAGGTGATGTTGAAAAGTGACTTCCCCTTTAAATGACTGAAATCAGCGCTGGGTAAAATAGTTTGCTATGGGTTTGCTGGGGGAGGTTTGCAAGTAAACTTATACAATTATTCGATTATTACCAAAGTGGGACTGACTATCTTCCATATTTGGTATAGTTGTATATTTACCAGTACAAGTTTAGTCATCTAAACGTGTACAATGAGCACATGATTGGGTGATTAAAAGCCTGGCTCAATTAGTAGCACTCTCACCTCTGAGTCATAAGGTTGTGGGTTCAAATCCCAAACCAGACTTGGAACCCATTAAGTCCATTCTGACATTCCAACTCAGTGCTGCGTCATTGGAGGTGCCGTCCTTCAGATGAAACATTAAAGTGAGTCCCGTTTGCCTATTCAAGTAACTGTTAAAGATCCCATGACTTTATTCGAAAAGCGAAGGGAGTTTCTCTTGGTGTGCTGACCAACAATCCCCCAAATAAAATTGGTCATTTTTTTCATGGCTGTTTGTGGGACCTCATTGTGCACCCACAAAATACACAGTCATTCCACCTTACAGTATATCCCGTGCAGCGCTTTCAGACGTCCTCCCGACGTGAAACACACTATATCGAATGCAAGGATTATTGGAGACGTCTCAAAGTGCTTCACAGAATATATTGCAAAGTGGATTGACTATGTATTTTGTGGGCAGGATATCTTATCATCATCCTCATGAAGGGAATACTTTGGATTGAATAGTATTTCCTCCCTTACATACTTGTTTTTTCACCTGACATTCTTCAGTCTTCACCAAGCTGCTTCTAAAAGCCTGTGTTTCCTTGGATGCAATTCTTAAATCAAGACACTAGAAGTGATGTACAGTATAAGCCAACCCCATTCTACGACAACACAACAACAACAAGATTGCATCTGGACAGTTGGGTCTGGACCCGAGCAGGGGGGAAATGGTCAGGGTGAGGGAAGGGAAGGGAGGGAGCGTGGAGGGGGTTGAGATTCAAGAGGGGAGCTGAAGGCACAGCGGATCTCCTGACAGGCAACACCTGGAAATGCTTCAGGAAGTTATGTCAACCCTGACCTGATAATCCCAAAAGCATTGAAGAGTGGGCATTTTTATAGTGCGCCCTATAGTGACTGATTGTATAATGCATTATAACTGGGGTCGGCCTGTATTAGACAAGGGAAACAACAAAACAAGCAACATCTCAACACGCATGTTTACTCAGCAGCTCAGCACATACTGTTCTTGGTTCATCTACAAATAATGTTACTTGGCATCTCTTATACACCAGTGGGTCACTTAACAGCTCTACATACATGTTGCTCAGCAGTTCTACAAAATAATTACCCTGTGTCTTAACAACTACTTGTGGAAAGATTGTATCAATAAATCTCAATATGTCTAATTAGACCGTGGTCACTATAAATGTAAGACGCAACCCATACGCAGATAATGCCACATCAGTATGAGTTGCCTTCAATTTATTTGGAAATGTTTGCTAATACTGTAGTTCATAACAAAGTTGGGAGGATTGGACCCCGCTGGCTTAAGATATGAAGAATATGTTTTTTATTAAAAGTGCACTTACCTTCAAATGGGAGATACACTCTTGGCAAAATCTGTTGATGGCTGAAAGCTTTGCTGGATCCCAGACAGATTCCCAGAAGCGTAAGATAAAATAGACTCGTCATGTCTCGAACTTTCAATTTTACATCCAGTCAGAATAAGCTGCAGGGAAATCAAAACGTATTTACAAACATATCACAATAAACTCGCAATATGGGGGCAGCATCTTAAATAATTCAAATTATTGAATTATAATAATAATTGAATAATCATTCTTGCATTTGATATAGGGCCTTTCATACACCTCAAAACGCTTCACCGAATATTTGCTATAAAGTGTAGTGACTAAGTATTCCGTAGGTGAACGCTTTGTCATTTTGCAGAAGAGCAAAGCCCCACAAATGGCCATGAAGCAAGTGACCATTTTGGATCATTTTTAAAAAGCCAAAAGGATATTGTTTCTGCCTGTTTCATACAAACACTATTGTTTGCATATACATGTGTTTGCATGTGTGTGTGTGTGTGTGTGAGTGTATGTATGCATTTACATAATGATGAGATTCAATCCAAGCACCATGCTGGCTGCCACCGCCATATACATTTTCACAAAAGTACAGTATTTCCACTGTATTTCTCTGTCAGCCTGATGCTGAAACTTAGCTTACAGTTTAGCCTCTGAGCTGTATATAAAGTCCTCTTCAAATGGCAGAGTGCAAGTTTACAATGTACTACTTCAGAGTACAGCTAAACAATGAACAATGTACCAACCTGAAGACAACTATGCAATGTATTACCTTATAATATTAGTATCAGCATTTTTTATAATAGCACAGTTCAACCATAGGAATCTGCAGTACTTGGATTATACAATGTACAATGTTTTACAATGGAACTGTTCAACTGTATAATACACAATGCTATTTTGAAATGATGCAGTGCAATTTTACAATGGATTACTAAATTATAATGACAATGAAACTGTACAGTACTATTTATAATGGGTATAAATGTACAACCGTACAATGCAGAACTGGATAACGATAGATATTGTGCAATTATTTCAACAGAGTATTGTGATACGCTTTGTTTCCTTCAATCCCAGCAATAATAGGGCACTGCATATGAAATATGCGTGCAGCCTGCAGTCTTCTGAAGGTTAAATATTTGCCTTTGAAAAGATGTCTTGTACTGAGCAAAAGCTACCAACCTTCAGCAATCTTCAGAGCCATGCTGCCCTATTATTGCAAAACGTTAATGACCTCTGTGGAGTTTTATATCCAAGGTCACAACACTTGGGAGGACCACATCAATGTCAACACAAGCTTGCGTTCTTAGAGCTTTTCACAGGTCACTGGTGCAGTACTGACACATTATTGTGCTTTGCTATAGAGGAGATTTTGTTCCCCCACCCTCTCCCACCCTTTAAAATTAATTGGAAGCATTTTAAATAACTCTTTACATGGCTTCACATGCAGTGGAAAGTAAAACTGCAGTGGATTAGAAAGTCTAGAAGGACTGCTGAGAGCAATGATATTCGCAGACAATGGTCTGTGTAGCGAAGGCTGGCTGGCTAAAGAGAGTTTTGTTCGACCATCAGGGAGCACCAATTTTTCGTGAAATGCAACATATGGCAACCAGGCTTAGAAACCTGTGCTTGTTAACCAACGTCTTGATTTACAGCTCAATATCCCATTACATCCATTTGTCTTGCATGCAAAAATATGTCAGTTAAATGTTTTATTAGCATTCAACATTGGAGTCCAAAACTTCCATAAGTGTTATGTGAATAATTCATCACTTCATATTCTGAGCTGTCCAATAATTACAACATTGCAATGTACATCCAGACTTTCATCTTCAATTATCTGGTTGCAGTGAACTGAAAACATCTGGAGTGAATCTTTTTCCAACTGATTTTTCAGATCCTTATCAGCATTTGTGTCAACAACAACAACTTGCATTTATATCGCACCTTCACTAGGATAATTTCTCAGTGCGCTTCACAGTGGTGGGGTGGAATGATGGGTGGGGGCGGGGTGGTGGGGATGGGTGAGATAAGATAAGCATAGGCACAGGCAAAGAGGTTGGCTTTGAGGTGGAATTTCAAGATAAATAGAGAGGGGACGAGGCGGAGGCATAAAGACTGAGAACTCCAGAGGTTGGGACGCAATGATTGAAGACTCGGCCACAAGTTGGTGTCAATATTGTGAGGCTGTTTCATTTTTTTAAAAATAATCCCTTAACATCTCGCATGGTCAGATCGTTTCGTCAATATGCTTGGAACCAGAAGGTCCACTTGATCAGACAGATGGGACCTCAGTTTAATGTCTCATCCGAAGGACGGCACCTGTGACAATGCAAATCCACCCTCCTCGTCTTGCATTAGAGTGTCATCTTGGACTGTGCGAGTTCGAGTCCCGATGTGGGCTTTGAACCCACAACCTTCTGACTCAAAAGCTGCAGTACTACCACTGAGCCAAGCTGCCACATAAATTACTGCCATGTATAAAAATATACTTCTTGAGTGAACAACAACAAGATTAGATTTGTATAGCGCCTTTCACATCGGGAGGATGTCCCAAGGCGCTGGTGAAGTATGTAGGGTTTTTCTGGGTTTGAACTGGGTCTTTAAAACAATAGATTTAGTTTTTGTGATTATATGGTGAAGAAATAAGAGGGGTAAATTGGACTTTTTTTAACACTACCTTTGTTAGGAAACTTTGAATTTAACATCCTTAAAACAAAGACTTCTATGATTTCCTGCCAATATTCTGTAAAATGTTTCGCCCACAAAATACACAGTCATCCCACTTTACAGTATATTTTGTGAAGGGTTTTGAGACGTCTTATTGATGTGATAAGACGCTATGTCAAATATATGGATTATTGTTATAATAATTTTGGATATTAACCTCATCTCTGAGGCTCACATTTGCTTTGAACATGGGTGTCCTGTGGACTCATGGCTGCTGAAGATGCAGTACACTTCTGGCTTCCAGTGAGGACTAAACTGCTTCCTACGCTAAAAAAATGGCTTCCCTCCAATCGGTCAGGTCTCCGTTGACATCGCTTCCTGCAAGCTGCGCACGCACACTCTGTGGCATCACTTCATGAAGGAAGTGGCACACAGGGGCCTGAGCTGATGGACCCAGATCACCGGGTTATGATGGAGTTGCCCTTATATGAATCTGGTTTGTGAAGTGGACTACATGACTCCATGGAGCCTGGCTGCTGATACCACATTGAGTAAGTGTTTTCCTTTTGGATCGTGCGTACAGTCACCTACCCCTCCCTCTCTGCTTGGCTCTGGGTCAGATTTCACCACTGTCAAGCACACTACCCAGCGCGAAAGGCGATAGATAAATGAAAGGTATTGTTATTGTTGTTTTTGCCAGTATTTTGCCAGTATGTTGATTCCATCAACTTCACTCTGAAGAGAGCTGTGCAAATCCTGTCTGGCTCTGTTAACTAATCCCTACAGCGATCTTGGGCCATTTAGTGAGCTCTGAGAGTGAGTGCCTGTAGACTGCCTGACTGAGATGGCCTCACATCTGTCCATCATGTCCTCACTTGACATCCATTATAAGTACATTCTAGGCTTACGGGGATACTGATTATCACCAAGAATCTTTGAAGATTATTTCTCTCCCAGGAGAACTAAGGCAAATTATAGCACCTCCTCCTACTACTACCACTGAGAACAGCTAAATAGGCACAGACCAGAGCTTGAACCCAAGACCTTCTAGGTCTGTGTAGGTTAGTTTGACTCTCGACAGTGACTTTGTAATTCAAATAGTAGTGGAGCCACTTTAATACTACTGTATTGCTCTTCCTCCCATCTCATTTTGCCTCTACTCTGTTCTACATACTTGCTTCATAAGACATTAAATATAAAGAAAATATATGTATACTTTTGCATATAGCGGTAACAATTTCAAACAGAAAATGAATCTAAATAGACAAAAAGAGTGCTTTACGGGGATTAACAGTGTAGAAAATGATCTGAAGGCAGTCATTTCAGTCTTACACATAATGGTTATGAACCACTGAACATTTTCTCTCACATGTTATGTTATCGAATTGAACTCCACTCCTTGTATCTCACCATCTGGTATCTACTGTCCCATTTATACTACACAAATAAATGGACTGCATCAAACGAGCAACAATGAGGATTCCACAGTTATATGCAAAGCTCATTCATATCCTTCACACTACATTGTCATGTGCTAATATTCTCCAGTAAAGAGGCTGATTGGTGCCTCCCAGCACAAAACGTTTCAAACAAAATTGATAGAAAAGACCAATATGGATTATTAAAACTAAAAAACCTTGTCAAACAGGCTGCAATAATGTCCGCAGTGCAAAAATAAACGAGACCTAATACTGTATTCTTCCTGTTCGAAATTCTTTCCAACCCGGTAGAAGTCAAATGAAACTGATACAGGATTTTGATTGATGACATTGAGTAATGCTGACGAACAGGGATTATGAGCTAAGAGTCATACATCTATTAACTCAAATATACATGTAAATGTATGAAAAACATTAATGTGCTATGTAGAGATCTGCAATATATATTTTTCAATTGCTAAAAGCATTGCATTCTAAACCTCATGCTATGATTCAAAACATTACTCATGTTTTGAGATATGACTATGAATTATCTTAGGAATCACGTCCTAAATGTAGGCTAAGATTAAAATGTGAAAGATATTAACTGGATCCTTCCACAAATTTTAGTAATGTACTCTTACAAATGCATTCAATAGAACCCCACAGCATATTTCTCATCCATCAAATGAACTAAAATCCTGGTTCATTGTGATAAACTTCTAAACCTAGCTCCCTTCTACATGGAATACAAAGCACACAGAATATTGTTTCGCACTGTTCTGCAAATAGCCAGAATTAAAACAAAAGTGGTCGTGCTAAATGAGATGTAAATGCACACTTTCCAGGTTAACTCAAATTTGCATCTGTAATTCACAGGAAAGTAACGAATTGATCTAGCTTTATTTTTCTCATAACTGGAACGCAAAAAATTGACACATCCTTTTTTCCCCACACTCACATCTATATAACACGAGACAATGCGGAATCAGACCTACCTATAAGTAATGAGAGGAATATCCCACCGCGAGCTGCTTTGAGTGACTCTGAATGACAAGTACTCTCGCACTTGATTAGTCTAACACTGAACAACTGGCCATGACACATTTGTTTAACCCCTTATTGGAGAAGCTCCTTGTCTACCCGCTCGCTGCCCACGAATGCAAAGGATTTTTCCTCAGACAGTCCTTACTACGATAGTGCACGGTACGTAGTCACTGTGACAGCTGAAATGGACGTTCATGCTTCTCTCTCGCTGTCAGAGCAAATAGCAAAGCTGCAGTCCGGCCGCCCTCTGATCGGGGAGGCACCAAAGCTAACTCCAGGTCTCCAATTACATGTAGCAAAGAGAGATCTTCTTCCCCTCCCCATTTCCCGAATTCTGTAGCTGTTCTGCACTGGAATGCATAATTAGTAAACCACATGGTGCACTGCTTATGAATAATGTTCACCCAGGTTCCTGAAATACTTTGTTGAAAAGCAAACGACAATAGGACGTGTTGTCATATTAAGCACGCTGTGATTCTGATTACATCCCAGTTAGTGATTAACAGCAAATTTATCTCTCGTCTAAAGGGAAGAGAATTCTGCACAGAGTTTTCATCAACTATTCAGCATCCTAATGCTTCGTGGTGTAAGTTCCAATCCTCACCCACTAACAGTCCTTCTACACAGGAGCTCCTCAGACTGAAGGCAGGGCAAGCAAAGTGATTAAGCGGAAGAACAGTGTACAGTTTCCTTTACTGAGTAAATCCAGCAGAGATGTGAGGGATACTTTACTGACATGTAAGCCTACAGAAACACACAGTCACTGTACTTGACAGCAATTACCTGTGAAGCTCTTTGACATTTTATTTTGGTTTTATTTGTAAATGTGAAACAAATTGTGACTAACAGTTACAATAGGCAGGTATACCTAACCTCTATACAACAATTAACGCACTTCAAAGTAACTCGTGTGAGGTGCTTTTTTGAGACATTACAACATTAGGCACTGTATTAAATGTCAGTCTTTTTATTTAATGTAACTTTTATGGTAAGCAAATTGAATTATTTTCCACATTGGATAGCGTTACTTAGGTCTTAAAGCTTCACAAGCACAAGATGTTCTTTCTTACGTTTTAAAATATTCAAAGTAACTCAAGAAAAAAGTAAAAATACTGCAGATGCTGAAAATCTGAAACAGAAACAGAAATCGCTGGGAACACTCACCAGATCAGCCAGCATCTATGGAGAGAGGAAAGGGAGTTAACGTTTCAGGTCTCATGAAAGGTCATCGATCTGAAACGTTAACTCACTTTTCTCTCTCTATAGATGCTGCCTGACCTGCTGAGTGTTCCCAGCGACTTTTGTTTTTATTCAAGAGAAAAGGATCCTTCAATGTTCTTTGATTCTAGTATAGTAGGCATAGTAAAATATTGTAAGTTGTTCTTTTGTTTAATTTCATGGCAGTTAGTCCAGAGGCTGGAAACAAATCTCGGGAATGCAATAGTTAATGATTCTGGAGCCAGTGACATTTATATAGTATTGGCAGGGCTGCAGTCAGTAGCAGAACTCCACGGTAAGCACGGCATAAAATACCTACCACCTCTTTATCCCTCCAATCTTTTCCTCCCCACTCCTCTTGCCTCATAAACTCTGGTACTCCTAACCTCTGGAACTCTTAATCTCTGGAACTCTCTCCCTCTCACCCTCCGGCTCCATCCCTCTCTATCAGTCCTTAAGTCCCACCTTGCATTTGATATAGCGCCTATAACATTGAAACACTGAATAGCACTTTACAGTAATTACTGTTAAGTGTAGTGACCGTGTATTCAAAGGGGAATGCAGTAGCCAATTTGCACACAGCAATTTGCTACAAACAGACAGGTACTGAATAATCAATTTAACTGGGGATATTGGGGATTGTTGGCCATGGAACTGAGAGATACTCCCTTCTCTTTTTTAATGGTATCATGGGATCGATAACATCTGACTGAACAAACAGATGGGACTTGGTTTAATGTCTCATTCAAAGAAGGTCACTTCTGATAATGCAGTATCCTCCCTGATCAATGCAATGGAGTGTTAGTCAGATTGTGTCTCCCAAGTTTGAACTAGTTGTCTTCTAACTGAGAGATGAGAGTACTGCCAACTGAGCCAGGCTGCTACTTCACTTTTGTTTACAGATATGGCTTTAACCCTGACGAATGTATTTACACTGACACAGTTTTTCTGGAAAGCTAAGATATTGGGAATTAATGTACAGAGCATTCCCAAGACCGTGTTCCAAAGAATCAAGTAGGATAGAAGCAACTTCCTTTATTCTATGGCTGTTAATTCAACAGTTTATATTGGTTATACTGGTGCATTATAATCCCAATAACCAGAGGTTAACCCATTGATTCTGTGATCACTTAACAGTGCCATTGTCACAGTCACTTATCCTTCAGTTTGTATATCATACAACAACAAGAATAACAAATTACATTTCTATAGCTCCCTTCGCATCAGTAGGACATCCCAAGGCGCTGGGCAATCAGGAATTTGGACCCAAGCAAGGAGTTGGGATCAGGAAGGGTGGAGGGCAGGGAGGGTAGGGGAAGGAGGGTGGCCGAAAGCACGGTCGAAGAGGAGGGTTTTGAGACGTGCCTCGAAGGAGGTAAGGGAGGAGCGAGGTGAAGGGACTCTGGGGTGGAGTTCAAAAGGGAAGTCCAAGTCATAAATCAATGACTTGGAGCTAACTAGCCATCATTCTACACTAGTGGTGTCCAACTGGTCAATCGTGGCCAAGTGGCGTCACGCACATGCTCAATAAAAACAAGAGACCAGGAGCGATATATGCCACAGTTTAAACATTAAAGTTTATATTTTTATTTTGAGATGCATCGGATACTTTGTCCATCCGGCCTCGTTTTCACTTTGACTCATTAACGACGCCTTTATTGCTCCTTCCTCGTGTCTTTTTGATCGTGCTCGAGAGCGCCACCAAGCGGCAATTGACCGGTTGGAGACCTCTGTTTTACACCATCACCAGTAACAGAATAAATGGACCCAAACCAACCAACAAACTCCACAGCATATGTTATAGAGAGGATCAGCTGCATTGGAACCATGTCACAGCCGTAATCTTATTTCAGAGGCTCAGATGGCATTTTCTCATTTCTTTCATGAGATTACTGCCTTTCGATGACTTCCAGCTATCCATTATTGTGTGTGTAATACACTCCGATTATAGAAGATGCAGATAATCCACAGAAGACATGACTATTCATCTGTTTTCTCTCAGTGTCACATGGTATTAATAGTGCCCTTGTGATCACCATTGTATATCATACTCGTAATGCATGGAGTCAGCCATCAGTGACGAAAGCATAGCTATGGAACAGAGTAAAATATCCACTAATAACGGAGAGTAATTGTTACTCAAAGTGGTTATAATATATTACTTTCACTGAGAAATCCAGAGAACATTCGTAAACAATGTTCAAGCAGTTTTTAACCATTGTTTCATGATCAGCATTATTGGTATTGCCTTTGGGTATCTCTTGTCAGAATGTGCCATCAGAGCGAGATGTTTGGCAATCAGCTTGAAGGAGCAACTTTAATGACATCTTACATAAACTGGAGTTACCGACCTTGAGGTTGGTAACCCTTTCCCTCTCATAGCTTATGATAACTACACGCTAATCCAAATTAGTTACTGTAAAGAAAAGTCAATGGCATTTTTAAATCGTATGAGGATTCAGAAAACGTGGTAACATTTTCATTTGGGGAATTCTCTATGGTGATACGAAAGGCCTTACATTTCACCTGCAGTTTTATACTGCTGTGATACAGCAGATCAGAGCATTGTGGCTTAAGATATCACTCCATTCTGATGCAAGATCTGGGCTGGCAGTGCTGTTTTAATATAAAAATAAGGTGTTGCTCCAGTTATATGAAATATTCTTTGATAGGATTTTCTAGCCTTGGAGCATGTCCAGCGATGCCCCAGTAGAGTAATAGCTGTACTGAAGACGCTGAACTAGGATGAGAGTACACTAAGGTCATATATTCCATAGAACAGAAGACGTTAGGGGTGATTTGTTGAGGTATTTCAATAATGAAAAGAATTGACAAGTTAGATGGGATGTGAATCTTCCCGCTTGGCAGAGGGATCCATTACAAGGCAGGCATGGCCGTAAATTCAGAACTGAGGTCAGGATACATTTCTTCACACAGAAAGCTAGAGAAGTGGACTCCATAGGAACGTTTAAGGGAGAGGTCGTCAGATGCTTGTGTCGTAAAGGTAATCAGCTGTATGGAGAGAGGGTGTGACATTGGGATTAAAAGTCCTGTAGCTCAGTGGTTAGAGCACTCGCTTTGCAAGCAAGAGACCTGAGTTCAATTCCAGGCAGGGCGAAACCTTGGGCAAGTTTCCTTACTCCACACGTCTAATAATAATCCCTCCAAAACAAAAAACAATAATAAATTGGTCATTTTCAATCTACGACTGTTTGTGGGACACTGCTGTGCGCAATTGGCTGCCGCATTCGCCCACAAATATACAGTCAATTCACTTTACAGTATATTCTGTGAAGCGCTTTGGGACATTTAGAAGACGTGAAAAGCGCTATATCAAATACAAGGATTATTATTATTATAAAAGATCCATCACTGTTCAATAAACTGGTAGAATTGGTGTGATGGGCTGAAAGGCTTCCTTCTGTTCACTAAATGCAACGGCACTTAGAAAAGTTGTTCTTTTGCCTTGGACAATGTGCCTCACTCCCTAAAATAGCCCATGGGTAAATTTGGGAGGAGACTGAATGTGTTGGGGTGGGGGTGGAGAGGTAGAACTGCTAAACATAAACTTTACATTGTGAGAGCTCAGATACCTGGAGTAGCTCCCTGTACTGTCTTTTCATCACTGATGATTGATCGGTGCAATTTAACTAGGGCATTAGTGTGGAACTGAGCCTTCAAAACGGAGGGCAATTTCTCTGGGGAATGTTAGCAACTTATTTGATTCCAGCTTTTATTGGTGACCGTACTGATAGATGACCTGAATTTTCAATTTGATTATACCTGTCAAAGTCAATTACATTCTGCCTGGCTGTCTGCTGTCCATTCAATACCAGTTGGGTGTGTCTCACGTGATAGCTTTGAGTCACACTACAGACTTGACACTAAACAAATGCAAGCCTCATTTTGCACAGACTCACACAAAAGTGATTGTGTACCCATAACACACACATGTATACAATTGTCCACGTTTCCAAATAAATAATTTTCACATTATTTCATCTCTTTCAGGTTTGTCTTGCTTTCCTTTCACCCCCACCCTCTCGCTTTCTCTTTCTCTCCCCCACCTCCCATTTA